TAACTGTGTTGTAAAAGCAACAGTTGTGTGTGTATGTTGTTGTGTAGGTCTTATTTCTTAAGAGTGTTTACAATATATGGGCTCTGTTTGCTGTTTTATATGTGATTGATTCCCCTGGGGATACTATGTTAGAAGATGTGATAGTGACAGAGCATCAAACATATTAACAGGAACAGACAATGTGTGTCTGGAACATGGTTCTACTCCATGTTGATAAGATTAGTCTCTTTTTGTGACCCTAAACATGTGTTGGGATGTCAGTGTTGTGAAACGACAGGAAGTGACACCAACCTTGGGGCCGGGGCCGCCGGGGAAACCTGGGGGACCAGCAGCACCGAGGGGACCCTGAGTAGAGCAGAAATGTAAATGTTATCGAGGTATCATACAGGTTAAAGTTCACATTAAGGTTAAAGAATAAATGGCGTTTGCCTCACGTGGCTGCAATTATCAAGATTAAGAGTCATGACTGGCCCCTTGGCAACAAGGATTTATTTTACCATCAAAGAGGCAAATAATGTGGCAGTACTCACAGAAGGTCCAGCAGGTCCAACATTGCCATCAGCACCACGAGCACCAGCAGCACCAGCAGGGCCAGCACGACCTCTCTCACCAGCCATACCACGAGATCCCTGTAGGGAGGATACACCAAAACACATGAGTGATGAGAAAAATGTCTTTACCACAGTAATATTGTATAAAAATATACATTTGTGCAGGCTAATACACTAAATTTCAACTAAATATCTAACTAGGATGGTCAGATTTTATCAAGGTTTTGCTCATAAATGGTGAATCATGAATCAAAACTTACAGCCAGTCCAGGGCTTCCAGCAGCTCCGTGGGCACCAGACTCACCCTGTGGGAGAAACAGGAGAAGGTGAGTTAAGGTCTCTGGTGAGGTCTCTGGAAGTGTCTCAGTGTTATGGATAAACAGTTTGAATAGAGAAGGTAATTATTAACACTGAAATATGGCTGGAGTGTTTTATTATTCCAGTTGGTTTTTGTAATACTTCTAAATGCATGTATTTCTGTAGAAACTACAGCATATTACTCTCTTATCAGTAGTCTGACATCAACATTACTACAGGACTAAGAAAACTGAGGTTTTTCATGAAGCACAGATCTCAGCAGGTAAATGAAGGAGGTGGCCTTCTCACCTTGGCACCAGCGGAACCAGGCTCTCCCTTGCGTCCATCCAGACCAGTGTAACCCTGAAATGCAGAAAGACAGAGATGTTCGAAGATGCTTACAGAGGTTAGGTCTAGCAGCTATCACATAAAGGACAGCAGAATAAAAATCGTAGTGTATTACTCTAAGAGATGAAGAGAGACGATTGTATCAGGGACAAACTGAGGAGACAGGATCCATTTTAGACAAGAAGGGAATTGGCTTGTGGGGAAAAAATTACTGTTGATTTCTTGAATAAATATATGAGAGAGGAGATATCCGAAGCCAATAATGAGAAGTCACCAAAGATGATCAATCCTCAATTATTTTAAAGGCGGATCACATCTGGAAGACAACAGAAAATAATTCCTCAGATGCCAGCTCAATCCAGAGTCGTTCTAATTTTTATCAGGAGTTCTCGTGCAAAAATCTGCACAGGCGGCCATAATCGCTCCCAGTGAGGCTGCACAACAATTCAGTCCAATTTTGATGCAGCACCAGTGCAAAATGTCTGCTCTTTGGTGGATTTCTATGAGCCAATGGGTGAGCAGGAGCCAGCAGGTAAAGTTCAGGTCGAGGGCAGGAGAAGAGCAACACTCACTCTGTGTCCCTTCATTCCTGGAAGTCCAGGGGTTCCGGGGAATCCACGAGCACCCTGCAATTCAAAGCAAAGAGAATATCACTGAGACATATTCCACAATTACACTGCTGATGTCTGTTTGTGTCAGTTTGTGTCTGAGTCCATATTTTGGAGAGGGTCTCTCACCTGAACTCCGGGGGCACCTCTGTCTCCGGGCTTGCCAGGTCTGCCATTGTTACCCTGTCAGTCAAAAAACAAAATTAGGCCCTTTCAGCAACAAGAAGATAAAACAAGAGCTCAAAATAATCCAACAAAACTTAAACCTTACATATTGACAAAAGTAGCCCTTGTAAAGTGGTTATAGACAATCAAATGTGTACGTACGTCCTCTCCAGCTTTGCCAGGAGGTCCAGGGGGGCCACGAGGACCAAGAGCGCCCTGGAAAAGAAAAAACAAAAGAGATTAAGATCTCAACTGATGGAATCGACTGAGTGAGTCTGACAAGGAAAGTGACATCAAATCCTTCCACTCTTATTTATAATCAAGAAATGTGAGAATTTTGGAGGATGATCTTACAGTCTGACCGGGCTCTCCAGGCTCACCAGCATGTCCTGTGTGTCCCTGAGGTCCCTGTTGAATGAGAGGAGGTGCAGCCATTAGTAAACAGCAAAACACATTTCTTTTGAGGTTATAGGTATGAGAGTAATCAATCGTGTGTGATCAGTTTGTCATAAAGGGTAAATTTGTACTTACAGGGGGTCCAGGAGGTCCGGGGGGACCTCTAGCACCCATCATTCCCTGAAAAGGAGAAATAAGTTAATGATCAGTTAAGCATTGATGAGGCATTGATGAGGACTGGAGTAAATATTCAAAATCGCTGCATTCATAGATGTAACAATATGGCCAACTTGAAATATGTGGTATGGTTTTGTCTGAGTGTGAGAGAAAGACCCTCACCATGGGTCCAGGGCCAGCATCGGGACCTTTTGAACCATCATACTGAGCAGCAAAGTTCTGATGAAAAGCAAAAATAACAACACAGATTATTACATGGACTAAAATATATGTACAATAACATTAGCCCCTATTAATATAAAATATCATGACTATTAGACAAGCGGCAAACAATTCAAATAAATCCTGATATGGTCATTCTAGTTTCAGTTGTCCAAACTTAATAATAATAACCTTTTAAAGTACACTTCTACTTGTTTTCAACTAAAAGGGATTTACAATAAACTACAATAATTTTTTTTAGATGTTGCCAGTAACACAAGTAACCTTTTTATGTATAATGTGTGTATGTGTTATTAGCTCGTATGGGTTAAGGACTCAAGGTCAAAGGTCATGGGGTTAGACCATGAGGCAGTGAAGTCAGCAGAGGTCAATAAAATAACCTGTCATGTATTTCACAGGAAATATGAACATATAACCAGCCGAGTGCTGTGTCGACCTGCAGTCCTCACTTTAACTTATGTGGATCAGATTCAAACATCACACAGATACATGCTCCCTATTCTGCACAGTCTGTATCATAACTAAATACCTGATGTCACATTACATTATGTGCTTCGTTATCAAAGTTTTTGGACCAGAATCCAGGCTGTTGTTTTTTTTTACAAATTTAAACAGTGGACTTACTCCTCCGAGTCCAGGGGGACCAGGGGGACCAGGGGGGCCGGGGAGTCCAGGTTTGCCATCATTGCCATCTGGGCCCTTAGGACCCTGCAAAACACAGATGATACCGTGAGTAAACAGTGTTACGGAATGAACAGCTCCTGATGGCTGACAACGCTGAGGCATTAGGAATTCTGCTGAAACATATTTAATAAATAAACATATCATCAAAATATAAATTATAGGCACTAAATAGATAAAGTGGACAAATTACTGTAAGAAATTGTGTCAATATAAATAATGATCAACATAAACTTAATTTTAGAAACAATGTAGAAATGTTCTGCTGTTGATATAAAATAAATCTGATGAGCACAATCTATCTTATTGTGTATAATATAACTATAATCATCAATAGCATTAATGCTATGGGTTATGTAAACAAAGGGGTGTGGCCTACGGGAGTTAAAGGGTCAAATGACGTCAACAAACAAATGCCTCAAAAATATTCTGAATAAAATAATTCAATGACGTATTTAGAATTGATTGTCTGAAGAAAAAGCTTCAGAGTTTGGGAGTTGTTGAGTTGAGCTTACCCTGTCACCTCGAGGCCCTTTGTCTCCTCTGGGACCCTGCAGCAGAGAAAAGACTCCGTCAGACCAAAACACAGAGCAGATGGCTCAGCTTATTGCTTTAACACCACGTCAACTCCAAACTATTCCTCAAAGCAAAGCAAAGCAGGCCAGTGTCTAATAAAGTAAATATCATTAGAAGCACATCAGAAACTACAACTTGCATCCAAATCATCTGGTTTATCATCAAAATGTGTCTGTAAACAAACACGACCTCAGAGAGAGAGGACAAACAAGTTAAAACACATTTCAGTGATTAGATGTTGTAAAGATGAGGTCTGATTTTTTTCCACTCTGAACTATTTGTATGTGTCTGATGTCTCGAGATGCTAAATGCCATGAGACCAACATGATGTGATCACCCTGACTCTTCTGTAAACCGAATAAAAGATAAATACATGTCAAATGTATTTATCTTTTATCTTTTCAGGGTTTCTCTGGTCATTTAACATGTTTAACATTAGCTTATCTTTTGCATAAGCATGATTGAGTGGCAATGGTGACATAATTGCTACGCAATATGATATAACAATATATAAACAGGCTCTTGCTAATACAGGAAGTTAAAAAAAGTACATCAGAGCAATGTGCATGTGATGTCAATCATCAACATGTGCACAGAGATGCTTTAATGTCCCAAAACAGACTCAACAGCAGTAAGAGCATGTTAGTCTATGGGACAATTAAAGTTCTGATATGATACCAGAGCCACACAGTGCGTACTGCACCTTTAAATTATTTTAAAGTTTCTTGAGCTGCAAATATGAAGCTGGGAGCTGTTTCATTTCAGGCAATCTCAATTATGAGCAGAGGCATTTCACAAACTATCACCAGGCCTCAGTCCTACACTCACTAATCATCCAATCATTATAAACCTTTTGTAACTTATTTGAGATCAGTTTTCTCTCTCTAAGTCAAATCCAAATCCAGAAGCAGAGGAAAACTCTAAACTGACCCAAAGTCAGTTGTTAGGAGCCAACCTCCCCTTGCCCCCTCTCTGCTGTCCTCAGAATGGATCCTTTGTGCCAGGCCCCATGGGTGCCTCAGCACGGCGGTTTTAGCTTTCACTGACAAACTTTAGCCAATTGGACCCTCACCTATTCATGGACAGGAAGGGGGGAAAACTGCAAGAAATACTTTTGGTTCAGTGACAGGACTGAAATGCTCTGCCGTCGTTGAGATTGCCCCAAATGGTCGAGAAGTCTCTCTTTTCATGGCACATTTTCACTGCGTTCGGAAGGCAGAAGGCAAAGCGACAAGGTAAAGCTGTCTTTGAGATGTGTTGCATGCGTTTGTACTAACCATCGCTGTGGCGTTGGGGAGATGAGGAGGAGGAAGGACAGGATGAAGACGAGGGTTAGGGAGAGAAGAGGGAATAATCCGTTAGAACACGACAAGCATTTTTTGAGCAAAACAGTCACCTGAAAAAGAAACAATGTCATTTCTAACCATCTGTACACTTGTGTCAACATCTCCTCGGTGCACAAAAATCCAGTGTACAACGAAAACTGCTATTTAGAGAAAATGCATTGTGAAATACAAAGCTGGGTTTTGTGTGTGTTTGTTGGTTTTCAGGGCCTCAACCATCATCTGTGGCACAGAAACTCTGTAAAGATTATCAGAACCACATCTACACTCATCACTGGTATCTTGAAATGCTAAACATATCTTCAACAATCATCCTACCCACACTGTTCATTCATCAGCAGCCTGTCTGCTGTGTAATGCGTTTGAGCCCATGTGTAAATGTGTACCTGAGGGCCATCTCTGCACAGTGTGTGTGAATCACATTAAACTGTCTAACTCTGCAAAAGTAGAGCTCAGCGTACAAAAGCATTCCAAATATTAAGGCTCCAGCTGTCAACAAGCCTGAACAGGTAGTGAATACCCTTGGGACAGGAATAGTTGGAGAACGTCTGCAAACAAGATAAGGGTGACTGCATTTGTGATAGAGGCTGTTCAACATCTGCTACTGATGCTGTGTCACCTCTGGTATAATAAAATGAAAGGCGCAGAGAAAGGTGAAAGGGTTTTGATCAGAAGGAGTTGTTGTTCTTCAGACTTCATACATTTTTTAAATTTCGATCATCTGATGGCTAAAGATTAATTCGTTGCTCATAGTTGTATCTCACGTCTACACTTTGTTGCAGGTGGAGATCTCTGCTCCCTGACTCTGGATCAGCTGCTCATGGCTCAGTTTGGCACAGCTGGGACCTCCCTATGACCTCTAACTTGCCATGTCCCATCGGGACCACAACGGGGCGCAGTAAGACATTCAAATTGATATGAAGTTATTTATTTCCCCTATATATGAGAAAAGCTTTGACTTCAATGCACAAACTTACAAGCTTATCTTTAAATGTTTCTGTGATTTAGATTAAGTTCAAAATCATTACCTGTAAAAAAAAAGTTAAGACACCACTATTTAATTTAGAATTATAAAACAATATATATTTTGAAATATGTTTTTATCTATAGTCTTTTCTATTTAAACTTTGATAAAACAGATTTGTCTTTTCAAGGAGTGAAAAAAATTTATAGATGCCAAGCAGATGTTTGCACCCATGGCCACAAGGGGGAGACATTGCAGTTTCCTATAATACAGCTTCATTCCCTGGACGTCTGGATGGAACAATGTGTACAACGCCCCACAAAGTTTTTCATCCTGTGTCTAAAAGAAAATCCACATTTAGCCTATTTTCAAGACTCCACATGCACTAACAGCTTTGAAAAGACTTTAGGTCGACTACTCTCTCAAAGCAGCGCAACTTCTCCTTCTCGGAAAACTAATCAAATGACAATATTGTATCCTTGGAAAAGAAAAAGAAAAGAAAAGTGAGGGATCCTTCTGCACGAGCTCAATCCGTAGAGTTTAATGCAGCAGTGCTCTGAGCTGTTCTTCACGTTGACCTTGATGTAAGTCCCAAAACAAAAGCCAAGCGCAAGATCCTCAAGCAGTGGGGACCCGAAGAAAAATTATCCATCACAGAAAAAAAGAGCAGATATTCAAACTTACATTGACATGATGCTAGGTATGAAGTTACTGCAAGCAGCAACAGAATCCGGGTATCCACAAAGCTGAGCATGTCTAAGCGGACATGCAGACTCCTTGTGCTGCTGAGCCCTGTTTTTAAACCACCTTCAAGCAGGCATACAATTGTGATGACACGAGTAACTCCAAACTTAGCAGAAACCTGCTGCCGTGATGCTAGAATAATAAAGTTCTATCAGGCCTATTTATACGGCAGGAGGGTCCCTGGTCTGCGTGTCAAAAGTCAGCCCACTGGCCAATGAGAGAGGAGAAACCCAATCTAACTCCCATCCCTCCGCAGCGCGCAGTCAGTCATGTGGTCCCGCATCTCCCAGCCTCCTCTCCACCAGAAAGCGTTTGGCAAAGCCTTGGCGATGATGACGAGTGCAACGTTTTAATTAGATCCATTCTTTTTGAGGACGTGGACAGCGTCGAGGTTTAAAAGAGAAGAAGGCCTACGTTTTCCCCTTTTTTTACGGGCTGCAGCGAGTCCGGAGCGTCAGTGCTGAGCTCCAGGCGCCCGGTGCGCAGTTTGGGTTCGTGCGTAAAAATGTGCCCGTTTCGGTGTGCCTCGACGGGCATCGGTTGGCACCAGGAGGGACAGGGTCGTTAATTCTGCGTTGGTTTTGTAGGATTGATGATGATTTTTAGAGACAGTTTAGGATTATCTAGTAAATCTGTGTTGCTCTATTGGAGTTGTATTGGAATGGACCTAAAGTGGGTCGTTTTACGCACGGATTTATTCGAAAAAATATGATACTTCAACCTTATTTCGTGGCATTTTAGTCACAAATTTTCTGTTTCGTGTAGTATTTGGTGACACTGTCACTCTTAATGCCAAGAAGATTTAGAGTCATATTTCATTTTTAACCATTCAAGCATTTCCTAAACAATTTCCAACCATTTCACACATATGTCAAAATAAAAGCATGTCTCTGGCCCTACAATTGATCTTTCTGTAACAGTTCAAAGCATTTTTTTATCCATATAGAGTTTGTGGATATGGATTGATACTGAGCAAACCAAAAAGCACTGGTGTCTTTGCTCTTCATAAGTCTGTCAGTGGAATGCAGTGGTTCACATTCAACACACGCACACACACCCTGCTGGAGACTCAGACTGACAAAAGACAGGTGTGAAGGAGGGTTCTAGTCTCAACCCCTCTCCCTCTCTCCTTCTCTGAGCAGCCCTTACCTGCCCACATGACCAGACATGTCATCTCCTCCATACTATCACTCCAACAACACACAGCGTGGCCCTCATTCTACCTCCTGCTGCACACCCAGAGCCCATTCCAGAGAGTAAAGTACACAGCATAAACATAATCCTTTAAGTATATTCATTTTGCAGGATGCAGTCCGTGTTTAAACACTCGGATGTTGAATTAACTGAGACCGTCCATCGATAAAAGAATAAGAGAAGGCATTTGAGTCCTTTATGAAGTTTATGTCGTTGTGGCACAGGAGGGGAGGCCTTGTGTTTATATGAGAGCAACACTGGTTATGTATAGGATTGCCTTTGACAAGCAAAATGGTAAAATGTTAGAAAAGAATCGTTTACTCAATAGTGAGCTTAATGGACTATTTTTAAGGCTTTTATAAAGTAATTACTTCATATGCTGCAGATCGTGATGACTAATTAACCACCTTTTTGTTATGAAGCTGTTTTTGCAGCACGCTGTCATAAAAGTGTGTTTATTAGCTCTAATTAAACCTCTCAGGAGGAGACATTATAGGAGGCTACTGCTACTCTCTTACAGTTTACTGGTCATATCTTTAATAACTGCTCAGCTACTTTTCTCTTACATACAGGCCTGTTCTGTAGCACCCCCCCATGCCACAGAAGTCATTGCTGGACAATCCCGGCAGCTTCACCTCATCTCTTCCCTGAGTCAAACTAAGGAGATAGAAAGGGGAAAAAAAGAAAAGAGGAGGAGGAGGGGCGCGTGAGTTGAAATGTGTTTTAAAGATGGCAGGGCTCCCACTCACTGCAGAGTTACATTCTCATGTTTGCTGAGGAGCCGCAGCTCTTGAAGTAGCTGCAGAGACCAGACAGGCGGCGTAGGAAATCAAAGATGGCTGCAAAGCTCCACATCATCAGACTTTTTTCTCTTTCGACTCAACCACGTTTCACATGAAACAGTCAGTTAGGTGATATCCCAGGGAAGAGTTGCACTTTATACAAATTCAGAAACATAATTATTGTTGTTTTCTTTTATATCAACTGTTGATAGAACTCAACTTTTATTTAACCATAAAAGTAAAGGTTCATGAACAGGAGCAGCAGCAGAACTTGTTTAAAATGCTCTGAAGCACCCACACGGTTATTGATAAAATAAAAAACACTTTCCATGCAAATAAATGCAACTGTGGCCTTTTCAGTTGACACCAGACCTCCTCTCCTCAAGGATGTGAGGGTGTCCTGTGGGTTAACACGTTTAACACGGAGCAGACGCAGATCTGCTTTTCGATGGAAGGTCAGCAGGGGTTATTGCCGCTGCTGCTCCAGATTCGTGCTGCTGCATTCAAGTACTAACTCTGCACCATCCAGACATGTTGCAATGAACTCTTTTTGCAAAATTGATGAGGCAGAAGTAGAGTTAATGGACTCACAGTTACTGTTTGGCTTTAAAGTTATTTGCTCTCTAAATGCAAGAAATGGCTTTAGTTTTAAGAGGAATCTGCAAATCAAACAACAATAAAGTGAAACATAATCAGATTAGATTTCTATGAATTCCTTGACCTTTTTTAAAAAACCATCAGCCATTTTGAATCTAACATCTTTCTCCTCTGCTGTCTCCCACAGAGTTGCCAGCTGGGCCTGGAGACAGATTCCTCCAGATGTACTGCGCTCTGATTGGTCACTGGCCTCAGTCACCCAGTCTCATATTTCAATTCTGATGCAGAGGAATAGCGCTGAGGATTATGGGTGGAGTGGATCCTCTCATGTCAGAGGTGGCCATCCACCCGTCGACCAGCTGGTAAGAAAACAGCACGCAACTAAAGAGAAGAGGAGTTAAACAGCAGAACCGCTGTGTGTGCAGATGGAAACTTAAAATATAGTCTAGATATGAAAATACCAGTGTATATCTGATGTTATCAAGACATATTAAGGCCATAAATCATAAAGAAGATCAGATGGTAACACTCTTTTGTTGTAGGGCACACTAATATGTCACAGCAAGAAGATTGCTGGTTTGCATCCCAGCCTAGCTGGAGTCTTTCTGTGTGGAGTTTTCATGTTCTCCCTGTGTCTGTGAGGGTTTTCTCCAGATACTCCAGTTTCCTCTCATAGTCCAAAGACATGGAGATTTGGGTTAAGTTAATTGGCGACACTAAATTGTCTCTTGCCCCATGCTAGCTGGGATCTAGCTCCCCCTGTGACCCTGAAGAGATATGCAGTATTGATCATGGATCTATGTATGGGGGGCTTTGGCTGAGGGTTAGAGCGGTTGTAGAAGGTTGGTAGATTGAATCTCAGCCCATGCCGAAGTGTCCTTGGGTAATGTTTGGATTCCACGACAATGAAATTTCAAGCAGCTGAGACAGACTCAAGATTGTTCAAATGCGTATATCAATAGGTTGCTGCTACTGAGGCTCCATCCCCTCGTCACTGAACTCTGAATCCAAAAGTGCAAGATGGTTATGTTTGAATCTGGCATATTTTAGCCTAATTTCTTGACAGTGGTTCATTATTTTACTTTACTTACAGGCATGTCCTTCATCTTATCACCTGTATGTATTGAGCATTTTACTACTGTGTGTGTTACATGTATGTTATTAAACATTGCTCAGGCAGAGCCCATACATTTGACTCAGAGAGAACGAACTCTGAAATTACAGTAATGTTCTTTAAATCTTTGGTTTTAAAGTATTTTTGGGGGGGGCCTGATTCTGGTCAATGACATATCTTCTGGATACACACATATCAGTCAACAGTAAAATAAAGTATCTATAATTTATATATATGTGCATATATACAGTATATGAGGAGTTTAGTGAAGGAGAAAGAGAAAGGAAGAGTTAGTGATTAAAGAGGAGGAGCACACACAAACACCAATAACCCTTTCAATGGCTAAAGCAAAGTGAGAGAAGAAAGAGATGAGATAAGATCAAAAACAAAATGTTTAAAGGTTGAAGGAAGCAGAGGGTGATGGGTAAAAAAGTTGAGACGCTCGGCCCTCCGAGACTCTCACACAGAGAGAGAGGCACTAATTAAACAGGGCATTGCACACACACACACACACACACACACACACACACACACACACACACACACACACTCAGACATGCAGGGGCGGTTGAGGTTTTCAAATTACAGCCTATATTCCTGGCAGTTTTTTTTTTCTTTCTCTGCTCTGAACGTTTGCATTGAACTTTCCACACTTTGAAAACTGTTGGAAAAACTAGAAACTATGACCCTAAGCTTGCTGAAGATAAAATGATAATGTGAATTAATGACATTTTTGAGCCGTTTAGTGTCGGGCTGCAAATGAGAGAATAGTTATAGCAGCTAACATCTTGTATAACCAGATACTTATTTCGATCAGCCTGTTGGTGGTACCTTCAAATAATAATTTTCACTGTTGTACTGAACCACAGTTGCTGTTTCCCTGTTTCTATTCTTTGTAACTAGGTGCTGGTGATATGGAGCTTTCTTAGACCTTTCTAGGCCTTTGTGGTGAACTGGGTAGACCGAGTAGAAAGCTGGACCAAAGACTATTTGTGTCAGATTGTCCACTCTTACCTCCACATTGTTCATGACTGTTAGCTATGGAACAGCTGCCTGAATAGCCAGCCCTAATGGGCTTCATCCCTGGCAGTGAATCCTGGGATAGGTTGGCCCAGGAGAAATGTACCCGTCAGACCCTTTGCTGTTTGAGAATTGAAGGACACGTTTGTTGGATGTGTTTGATGGAGCCTTCGTAATGGGACAACCAAGCCGTGAGTCTCAAGCAAGGGCCGCATCCAGCAGAGACACAGCACTAATTTTGCCAGTCAGTGTTCAAAAGCAGATTCCGCACTATGTTGAATTACAACCATAGACTGTATATATTACAACCATAGACTGTATATAAAGATTACAACACAGCTTGAGTGACTCTTAAAGGGAAACTAACGTTCATTGAACAATGGCCACTGTTGCTACAAGTTGACAAAGACACATTGAAGGTCCAAGATTTCAAATAATTTGCTTCATACAAAAGAATCGCTTGAACAGTTATAAAGTCCCACTCATCATGAATGAGTCATCTTTAGTTTGCTGACATTAGCTATTGGTTACTTCAGCCTTTGCAAGGTCGTAGCAGTAAATTTAGCTTTTCAACTTAGGACAAAGAGGTTTATCAGTTCTTTTATCGACAGTGGCAAAGTGCTGCTTTAAAGCCAAGAATCCAAAACTCAAATTTAAACAAAGTTTGACATGAGTTGACTTGTTGAATTAGTGAGGTTGAACACAAATTAGGCAGCAACATTGCAAGACTTTAATTTACGGAGGTGATAGCAGCAGTTTAGAGAAGTTCTAGATTTAACCACACAGACTTATTTATTTAACACAGATGAATCCTCAAAAGCACTGTTCTTCTCTGCTGAGCGTTTGCTGCTGCCACAAAAGACAAGTGTTCAAAAGCGATAAGAAAGCCAGGCTGAGTGAAAGAATCCTGCTCCCCTGTTGGCCCAACAGGCCTGAGCGTATATCAGCATGCTGAGGCTACTGGCGTTATTCACCCAGCTGACTGGCTGCGTAGCACCCCGGAAGGAAGAACTAGTAAAAGAGAGGCTGGGCTTTTTAAGGAGCACTCATTTACTTTAAGTGCTTCAAATTATACAAGACCCGGGCCAAGTTTGTGATGTGTGTGTATGGAACGCCTTTTTCCCCCTCATTCCTATCCCTGTTTTGCTTTTCCTGTTTTCCCTCCTACCCCACGTCTCTTGTATCATTTCAGTGTCTCGCCCTGCCTGCCTCCATCACCATGTCCGTCTCTGTGTCTCTTCCTCCTCGTCTATCTTCTCTCCCTCAGGTTTTACATCTGCAGGCAGTTTCCAGTGGAACAAATTTCTCCAGCATTTAGTATTCGGGGGGCGGGGTTATTGTGCAGGGAGCTAGTGCGGGATAAGGGCAAGAGAGAGTATAAATACTGTAAAAATACAAGTGAGCATGGCGGAGATGTTGACTCAGAGAAGAAATAGTTCTTCCAAACAAAAAATGTAGAAGAAAGTTTCTTTTTATCCTGAAACCGAGGCAAAGCAACAAAAAAAATTTTTACTAAACAATTCTCCCCAAAAGCTTTTCTGTCAATGAAAGAGCTAAAGTGATGAGGAAGAACGTGAGAATCAGAGAGAGGACGGAGAAGAAGAAGGCAAGAGGATGAAAATCAAAGTAGGGAACCTCCCTTGGCTGGGACTAACACATGGTTAGATTTGCCTGTGTGTCCACATGACTCACAGTCTGGTCAGCAAACGCATAATAAACGTGACAGAAATATCCCCACACAATGTCACCAGAGTCCATGGCAGGCAGTTAATTGCTAGATGGAGCTGGGCCGTGGTTTAAGGAGGCAAAAAAGTCCAACGCATGAGAGCAGAGCAAGAGACCGTCCGTATATGTATTTTTTCTTTTCTTTTTGAAAGGCTGCATAAATATGCAAAGGAGGGTTGAGTTAAGATCATCTGATGAGTTCAGTCCAGGTTATGGTGGAGATACACTATGGAGGCGAAGTGTATAGAAGTCAGGGGAATTTATAAGTTATAAAGTCAGTTTTTAAATTCTACAATGCAAAATAAAGTGCTAAATAAATGAAAAAAGATATGCAAAGTAATCTGAACGTCTTCCAAAATATTAACTGCAGCTAAGACAGAATTGCAGATCCTGCATGCAATAATTTGTCCACAGTCTAACAACTTACCTCCGTGAGGTGAATACCTTCATCCACCATGACAATAATCAGTTTATTGTAAAAAAGTTTGTGTATAAACATATTTCGTGTTGACTTCACTGGTTTAAATTAATTTATGAGTATCACTAATATGAGTTACTCACCTGTTCAAAGATTACACAAATCCACATAATAGCACCAAGGAAACAAAAGTGTATAATATCCTAGTTTTTACATTTGAACGAAGCCACACAAGCTTTTTCATCACAAATCTCTGCAAAGAAGTAAATAAATGAATTTCCCAAAAATGTCAAACTTTTCCTTTTTAATACATTATTCAAGGTGAATTGCAACATAGCTGTTAAGTAACACATAAGCAATAAATAGTCATCACTGTATTAATTACACATGTTAATATAGATTAAAAGTGCTCCGTTATAATGAGTGTGCCATTACTTTATTCATCCAAGTAAAAAAATCCTATTTGGAACATATATATATTAATATTCACATGTTTTAACCCTCAACACTGATATTATTTATTGAAGTGCTTTAGCAGCATTAGCATCAACCTTTAGCAGCATTAGCATCATCCAGATGTTTTGATTATGAAAGGTGCAGTTTTGAGCAGGTCTCATGAAATGATTGTGTACATATGACATAAGGTTCTATATTTTGTGTACAATGAATATTCTTTATAATAAAGTATTATTATATTCATCCCCTACCAACATTTCCTGTGTTTATATATCGCATACATCTTTGTTGTAATGACGCATTGCTAGTTTCCTTATTTGTCTATATGCTTCTTATCAAACAAATAATCTTGAAAAAACATTTATACTTTATATGTTTTGCAGACATCTGTTTCTAAAGGACAAAACACTGAAAAAAATAAATAACTTATAGCTCATTCTTTTCCTTTTATAATAAACTTTTTAACTGAGGTGAGCAGTCAATGTATCTGGTTAAATAACCATCATGGCAAATTGGCAGCTTGTGCTTTGGTGGAATCTGTTTAAGTGAATATTTGATTGAAAGTTTACCGAGCATTGAACATGAGTCTATGAAGGGAAATAAGATGAAGAGCACTGATAGGAAGAACAACACATGACGTGCAGGCTGCGTGGAGCAGCAGTAATCCTGTTTAGTAAAGTAGGAGTGTGCTGGTAGTTGAGGGGTTAAACTGAACACAGTCATGGTGAGTGGAGGGGAGAGCGCTGAAATCTTTTCCATATTACCGCACACATGAGGAACACATTTAAGTGAGTTCAGCTGTCTGCAGACTCTCTCTCTCTCTCTCTCTCTCTCTCTAGCTGGTAAGGGGCAAGTTCAACACAGCCGTATATCATTACACATCTGGGAAAATGCACTCAGGGGCCCGGATGACACACCAGAGACAAAAGGAGACAACGCACTCCATCTGTAACCAACCTTTGTGGTAGAGGAGCTTGAAAATGAAAAAGTTAGGAGGAGATGAAGAGTTTTAACCAACTGAAATAAACAAAAAACTTCTAATACTGCAGAATACTGCATAAAACTACCAGTGTTCGTCCATTTAAAGTCTCAAAGCTAGAATGTAACAGATGCTATGCAGCCAATGACGTATTTACACTCTCAAAGGGGGGAAAATGGTGTTCCTGAAAAAGATGTGAATATGACAAATACAAGCATTAATATTAACACTGGTAGAAATATGAGACGTTGACGTTTTTAGCTCCTCCCATCACTTCCCTGCAGTAACTCCACCTCTTTGAAATCGCTCTGGTCCCTGCACTTTTATTTTGGTATGATGAATGTGGACTGGCGGAGCTTTCAGGAGGG